TTAAAGTTGAGCTCGATTTAATTTTTAAACCATGTTCTATAATCAGTTGTTAAACAATTAATGAAAGTAATATTTTCCTACGTTTCTATTTAATACGACCTAAGTATGATGAATTTAATTGTTATTGGTATATATATATATATATAAAACAAAAATTTGGAAAACATATAAACATAAGAAAGGCTATTGCTTGAAGGTCAAAATTGTGGGTATCAGCCTGTGGTCGAGAGGAATTGCTTTCAAAGACAGCCATACAACTTTATAATGGTTATAGAGTATGCAAACTTCATTTTGGAAATAATATGTTTCTGAATTATGAGAAAACGAGATTGCAGCCACATGCCGTTCCAAGTTATATTGTGAGAAATAATGGTAAGGTTATTTTCAAATAATACAATAGCCTTAGAATAACATTATACATGATATAATATCATCTCACAGATGAAGAAGCAAGTTCAAGTAGCTCAAATGTAGAAACACACTGCATGAATACCTTAAATATTGAAAATACACAAGAAGAAAATACTGTATTAGATATGACTATATTCAATGAAAAGGATGTAGTATATATAAATAAAACAAAAGTATCAGATGTATCAGAATCAGGAACACAAACATCTTTGTCACTATCTTCTACATCTCCACGAAAAGTACATCTTTATCAGCAGATAAGAGGCTATAAAAGAAGAATAGCCAATTTGGAATTAGAATTAGATAAAGCGAAAAAAGCAAAAAAGGAAGATATTAATACATTAGATATGTTATTAGACAAATATTTTCCAAAACAAACATCCGAATTTTTAAAAATGCAAGTACGTCTCTTTCAAAAGGATGCGAAAGGTAGAAGATACGATAGCGCTTCATTCAAACAATATTGTTTATCGATATATTTTTCAAGTCCTAAAGTATATAAAGATTTAGCAAATAAATTATTTAGTTTACCTAGCTGTGCAACTTTAAAAAGATTTACACAGAACTATTACATATGTCCAGGATTACAAGAGAATGTATTTCAAATACTAAAAATTAAGATTGACGGTTTGCC